AGCCACATCCTAGCATACAAGGAGAATACTATCTTTCTTAAGCCTTTTATCCATAAGTCTCTAATTTTCAGAATCCTTTCCTTTCTCTGCCCTTCCCCCCATTCAGTTTGAATGGGTAGTAAATGGAATAGCAGCCAGGAGAAAACTGGATCTCAGGCTTTGTTTGGTTCTGACATTTTTTGTTTTGGGTGATGAATATCTCAGAAATATTTGATTTCTATCTCTCATTTTTAATGGTTACAAAATGTCTCATTGGATTTATTCCAGTCTCCAGCCTAGTCCTTATCCCTTCCACTGAGAGACCTCCCCTATCAAAGGTCAATTCTGGTTTGACAAATTATCTCTTAGATAAGTATCTGCCTGTTGTTTTACCCACTTGCCTATAATAAGATGATTTATTGGCTTGCATTTGCTGTGTGGGGAATCTCTAGAACAGTGGAGTTTGCCATGTGCTTTGATCTGTTTTCCAGGGGCCAATAGGATGACTTCAGGGTTTGGTTCATTGCCGTAAGTGGTGTGTGTTTTGTTAGGGTTGTTTACCTCATGGTTGGGACCCAAGTGCCTCCATAGACAAGTGAACACATATTTATCCAATTTCTGTTTCAGTGCATTGTGCTTTGCTCTGAGTTGGGTGGTACCCTCATCGGTCTCCTTTTGTTTCCCATTGTGGTTCTCCGAAACGGGCCGGGTCCCACCCCCAAGCCCCAACCTGTTACCCATGACTTGTCCTCAATCCTGCCTTCAGCTTGGTTTGTACATCTGCAGATTTTTCATGGTACCTTGTTTTCATTCAGCCCTGTGCTGGGCCAAGGATGCCCTTTCTTTATTTTCCTTGTTGGAAATCCTATTTGCTGGTAATGTCACTGTTCAGTGAACTCCGATGTTTCCCACCAGTTCTGTAGCTGTGCTCTGTTCCATACCCATGGGCCAATTGAGTTCCACTCCTCTCTGATTATGTATTTATCAGGAGTCTGATCAGATACTGAAATGTTCTCTAAAGGGGAAACTACAGGGCTGTTCTGACCATTTGATACTGCTTATGCTTCTGATGTTAAATCTGAAGAAGGAAATTGTGGGGTAATGAGCCTGCCTGCATAGTCTGGTCTAGAGAGAAAAGGAGTAACAATTGTAGGTAGTTTCTGTGTCCTGTTAGATGGGAATCTCAGAGCTAATAGATCCTCAGTGCTCTAGGCTTCTCGTTGGGTTATGATATCCTCACTTATTTCCCAATGCATTCTTTTTTGTAAATTTAAAAAATTTTTTAAACTTAAATACAAAATGAGAAGGGTGGGACGTTGTCATGTATACAGCAGAACATAAGAGGGGATTCAATATAAAATAATAAATTTCCATTTCAAGAAAATCTATATAATAAATAAATACTACATACTGTTTTCAAAGCTAGCCAGCTTTTCATTGCTTCCTTGTAGGTTTTCTTTTGTTTTCTGCTGTGTACTTTTTACTTCATTTTTTTTACTTTCCCTTCCCCCTCACCCTAAAGAATATATATAATATGCATAGGTATTTATAAACATACACATATGCACTCATACACATATATGTAAGACTGTACTGTGCTTATTTCCTTCCACTTATCTGTTTCTCTGAAGGTGGATTGAATCCTCCTTCATAAGTCTAAGTCTTGTTTTTCTAAATCAACCAGCTCATCATTTTCTACACTACTACCATATTCCAAATCAGTACCATCCTAACAGAGAGATTGCCTGTGAAAGTTTTTTCCCAAGTTTCTGCATTCCTTCTATTCTTGGCTACATAGGTTTTATGTATACAAGAAAATCTTAATTTAAAATAATCAGAATTATCCATTTTATACTTTAACAGTGCTCTTATCTTATGATATAATTAAGGTCTAATACTGCTGAATCTACTTCCTTTACATCTTTTTCCCCTGGTTTCTTTGAAATTCCTGACTTTTTGTTCTTCCAAATGAACTTTGCTATTGTTTTTTCTAACTCAGTAAAATAATTTTTAAGTAATTTGAGATGACATTGAATAAATAGATTAATTAGGTAAAATTGTCATTTTAAAAATTATATTGGCTTTACCTACCCCATGAACGATAATATTACTTCAGTTATTTAGATGTGACTTTATTTGTATAAAAAAGTGTTTTATATTTATGTTCGTATAGTTCTTGTGTCTGTTTTGGCGGGTATACACTCGGGTATTTTATATGTCTAGTTATTTTAAATGATCTAAAACAATATTGAATAATATTGCTGATATGTAGTGTACTTTCTCTATTTTTCTCTTTTGATTAAATCTATTTTAACTTTAACTTTGTCTGAGATCTTGATTATTACCCCTGCTTTTTTTTAACCTAATAAATTCTACTCCAGTCCTTTATCTTTATGTGTATCTCTCATCTTTATAGCAACATATTGTTGAATTCAAATTTTTAATCTGCTGTCCACTTCCATTTTATGGGTAAATTCATTCCTTTCACATTCTAAGCTACAATTACTTGTTTATTTCCTCCTTCCTATTTTTCTGCACTTTCTCACCCTATTTACTGTATCCCTTCTCACTCTTCTGTTTTACTTCTGTCCGCTACCTTGCCCTCCTATTCCTTAACCTACCCACCCCTCCAAGAGTCCCTCTTTTATCCTCTCCTCACTCCTGTTCTAATCCCTTGCCCTCTTATTTCTTTCTGAATTTAGAAGACTTTTATACCCTTCTAGATATATATGTTGTTCCCTCTTTAACACATTCCCAATATTACCCTCCCTCCCCCATACTAGCTTCTTCTATATCAGTTTTTTCTTTTATACCTCATTTGTGTGAGATAATTACTCCTTTTTATCTCTTCCTACAGTTTTTTTTTTTAGAATCACCCCATCATACTCAGCTCAGCCCCAGCCTTTCTTTCAAACTACCCAAATAATAACAGTCACAAAAGTACTGCTGATATTGTCACATATAAGAAGTAAACAATTTTTCTCCTGGATGTTACATGTCAAATTTTCCCTTAAGTTCTGAAGGTTTTGTCCCAAAAACCCAAAAGTCTTTTAATTTGTTAAATGTCTTTTTTTTTCCATTCAGAATTATACTTAACTTTGCTGGGTTACCCTTAGCCGTAACCCCAGTTCTTTTGCTCTACTGAATATAGTATTCCAAGGCCTACAGTCCTTCAGTGTAGTAACTGCTAGGTCTTGTGTAATCCTTATTGTAAGCTCCATGATATTTAAATTGTTTTTTTCTTGTTGCTTCCAATATTTTCTCCTTATCCTGGGAGTATTATTTTTCCTTAGTCTGTTCTCCAGATCAGTTTTTTTTTCTAATGAAATGTTTCAGTTTCTCTTCTATTTTTTAATTCTTTTGAGTTTGTCTTATTATTTCCTGGTGTCTTAGAATACCATTAGCTTCCCCTTGCCCAATTCTAGTTTCAAGAAATTTTTTTCCTTAAGTTTTTGAGTCTCTATTTCAGGTTCTTTGACTTTCTTTTCATAATTTTCTTGATTTTCTTGGATTGCTCTTATTTTTTTCCCTAATTTTTCCTCTATCTTTCGTATTTGGTTTTTAAAGTCCTTTTGAAATTCTTCCAAGATCTCTTTTTGTGCTTGGGACTATTTGACATTTCTCACTGAAAAAAGAGTGGCTTTTTTAGCTCCATTATATTCCTCTGTATGTGAACGCAGACCCAATGCCATTTCTTCTCTCTCTCATTTTTAGTACCAAGTCTTTTCTTCGTGCTGGATGGTTTCAGGCAGTAAAAATGGGTGTAATAGGTCCACAGTAGTTGAAGTGCCATGAAGATGTGGTTTTAGTGGCCTGGAGGGTAGTCACAGCCTGGTTTATGTGTCCAAGGTTTTTCTTGGGGAGGTGAAGGGACTATAAAAATTGGTTTAATTACAAATGAGTAGGAACATATCAAGAGAGTAAAAAAGGCTCTTGTGTTATCTCCTACTTGTACAAGTTGCCTGAAGTTGTAGAGTCATAAGACTAGATTTAAATTGTAGTTCCTACCCTTACAAGCATGGGTAAGTCATGCCATCCTTCTGACCTTGCTTTGTAAACCTTAAAATTTCTATGGAACTATAAACTAGGACTGTTATTTCAGTATTCCTTTTGACTTTGCTAGAACGGTCACCCTGCTATCAGCTCATCCTACTCTGACTGCTTCAGCAATGACAGGCAAGAGAATAGAGAATTAGTCGTTAGTCCCACAAGTCTTCCAGGGGCTCTCACTGAATTGGTATGGCTTTTGTAGAGCTCTGGTGAAGTAGATGAACTTCCTCTTTCTTACTCCTACCTTCCATCTCCCTGTGTAAGTATCATGCTACAACTCTGCAAAGAGATTGAAAGGGCTAGGAAACTAAAGAGTTTTACCTCTTCTTGTACTGCAAACCTCTACAATCTGTCTCTATGAATATTAGCAATGCCCTTCTCTCATGAGTATGTACTCTCACCCACTATGGGCCTGTTAGGAGCTAGATTAGTATGATCCTTGGCTCTTGGCACTTAACATTTGCAAACTCTTAGAGGCTGTGGACCTTTTTTTCTGTAATTCTCTTTGCGAAGGGCTAAATGCCATTAGATAATTACTAAAGTCTCTTCAGTGCTGTTACTGTAAAGAGACTCAGGTGATATTTGTGAAGGACAGCAAGGCAAGTCATCCCCCAAGTCCTCAGAATCTGTTGTCATTTAGAGAGAAATGTCAGAGATAAAGTGCTTCTGGATTGAGAGCCAAATGAATTTCAGCATGCAAAGACCCAAAGAAATCTTCCTATCAGCTTTTTAAAGGGAAAGGAAATTTCAGGGGGGACCATGTAGGGCCCATAACCTCTTAAAATCCCAAAGTGGGAGCCAAGGCAAATCCGATAAGCATTCTCTTTTCAAAGTTGCCCTGGATGGGCTCATGGGAGCTCACAAGATCTATGTTCTACTTTTTGCATGTGTAAAATTTGAGCTTTGTGATTTGAAACTTTTCCTGTTTCTTATTAAACAGCTGACCTCATTTTTCTCCTTTGTCTCTGTAGTGGTGGAGATCCAAGAAGGGAAGACAACTATTGTAAGTATCATAGCATTGGCTCGTTGGAACTTCTGTCATTCTTGGAACTGCTGAGTCATTACATTATTACATTATATTATTAGAAGACTAGCCCTGATTGGGGACTTCCTGGATCCAAAACCAGCTCTCTCTGGGACCATAAATCCTAGAACCTGCATCTTTCTAGCTGTGGATTGTCATGGCTTAGTCAGAAAGTCTCTAGGCTTGGAATGAGATACTGTACTTGATAATGGCCTGGATTCACATTGCCCTTTAAATTACAAAGTCACTGAGGTCTTCGTCGATGTTATATTTGGCAGGTTATGGAATTTTCAGTTTTCAGAAAGAGAAACTGAGGTAGTAAAACTAGAGAGTCTCACTGAATTGGCCCAGAGCCAGAAACCTATACTGCAGCTCCTTTCCTATCTCCTTAAAAGCTGTTTTTTGTAGTAGTACAGTTGAGGAATAGTATCATTTGTGCACATTTGCCTTCTGTCAGACGCTGTGGCCTGTCTCCTCCATTACTGAAATTTTTAAGGTACCAGTGGTTAGGCCCTCTCAAGTTAAAGTCATTGGGCCAAGATTCCTTAATTTTTTTTTAAAATCTGTTCTCACTGGTTTCCATGAAAGCCCCACAACTAGAGCCCTTCAGAGAGCTCTCAAGGGACTTGAACCCACAGCTCAAAACGATTTCTGCCCCACCACTCCATCAGCCAGCCGTGGTGAGGTCAGTTGTCCTGTAGAAAGCCTGGGTTCCCGCCCTTTGTATCACCAAAAAACCGGCGCGTGTCATCACTTTATACCCCAACACCAAAAGCATGTCTCCTTCATTTGCCCCTGTTTAGTTATGGAGTAGGGCAAATATTCATTCTGAAGACCCCAAGCCAGAAGGATCAAAACCATCAAGCTGGGAGATGGGAAAAGTTTTCTTTATTCTCCAAGTGAATCTGAAGAAGGCACGTATGCATGGCACTGGATCTGGAATTCATCACAAAGTCCTGTGCTTCTGCAAGCTCTGTTAATAAAGTGTTCCCTTGTGTCCTGCCATGACTCAGCCTCACTCAGAGTCTTACCTTTTCTCACAGCCCTCAAGCCCCACACCCTCCATGTTCTAGTCACAGACTCTGGCCCCTTTTTCCTTCTGACCAGTCGCATGTCTGTGAAAGGTGCAGGTTCTTAGTGCTGTCCTTGGCTCTGCTTCCACACCCCACGATTTCCTTCTAGCATTACTTTCTACCTCCACTTCCAGTAGGAGCTGGCAGCTGGGATTGACGGCTTGTTGCTCTTAGCAACTTCAAGCCTACATTATAACAAGCAGAAAACATAAACCAGGCCAAGACTAGTTGAACTCATTTCTTATATGACCTTATCTGGTTTTGAAAGGTGACGTCCATACCAATGAAGCCCTCTTCCTCCAATCCCCCACCTTGATATCTTTGCCCCTGAAAAGGGACAGGTGGGTTCTAATAGGCCAATGTAGTAGCATGGTTCTATGGCCTGTTCACAGTTTTAAAATGTTTTATTGATGCCTGGGGGGGGGGGGGTTGTCAGTATTACTTCCAATGATTCTTCTCTTTCTCCTCCCCACCAGAATCTTTCCTTGTAGCAAAGAAAAAGTTATAGTCTATTCATTTCTAACTAACCAAGGGCTAACTTGTTATCCTCTATTCAGCAAAAGTGTTGACACTTCAGGCTAGAGAAATTTGTTGAATCAGGTACTGCCAATAGACCTTCAATAAAGAGAGCTGCTCTTCAACCCCAGTTTCTACATCATAATCCATATTTACTGTCTATATTATATAAGATGTTTTATTCAATACTTGACCTCTCCCTTTCTACTTCTTAGATTGAAGGGCGAATCATAGAAACTTCCAAGGTGGTAACAGATCCTCCTAACCCCTCTGGCCAGTGCCCAATCTGTCGTTGGAATCTGAAACACAAGTATAATTATGTGGTGAGTGCACCTTCTGACTAGGTTAGCCCAAAGAGAATTAGCCACAGGTACAAGTATCTCTTACACTTGTTAAGTATGACTTGGTCCTCCTGTTTGCCTATTGCTGCTCGATGTAGAGAGGAGAGAATTTGGTCCAAGGTTTGACTGAGGATTAGGGATACCTGGGTTCTTCACTCTAGCCCTTCCTGTGTTGGTTGTGTTTCCTCATCACATTTTGTTTGGGTTTCTCCCATAACATATATTTGAGGACACCCAAATGGGCTAGACAGAATACTTCCACTTCAGCTACAAAGAACCTTCCTTGCTATCCAGGAGTGGTTTTGACCACTGCTCTATGTTGCCCAGCAGCTATGACATTTTTCCTTACTGTTGGACCCTGATACCTCTGTCACTTTGAAAGTAACCATTTCTAGAGGAGCTGGAGGTTGGGGTGGAGTGGAAGACTCGGTGACAAATCATATCTTTAATGAAAACTACCTTGCTCCTTAGCAATTTCTGAGTTTTCCATGACATGGTAGACGATATGGATTCTGGGCTAACCAACTCCACAAGAAACCAGACCTAAAAAATAAATGCATCAAGTAGGCTTGAACTGAGACAGATGTTTCTTGGCCCCTTCTGAAAGGGTCCAAGAACCACAATCCAGTCATGTGGTGAAAGGGTAGCATATACCTATGAGGCATAATAACCCAAATGATTCTCCAGGGTGGTCACCCCTTAGGGCCACCTGGAGTAAGAAGTTTGATAACCCAATTGAAATGCCAGGCCCTCCTGTTAAGTGGTGCCTAGATTTAGCTTCTTATGTCATATGTTTGGTACTAGGGTTGGTGATACTGCTCAGAATGCAGCAGCATTAGAGGGAGGTAAGAGCCCACACCTGCCCAGCTACCAAACACAGGCATCAGTGCCCCAGGGGCACTCTACCTACTGGCTTTTCCAGGAAATGCACAGCCCGTACTTGGCTTTGTTTTTATCCATCAGAAGAAACCCAATCCCCCTGTAAGGTGAAGGCTAAATTTGTTTTTGCTTTCACCCCTTCCACTCAGAATGTACTCGAGCTACATAGAGCTAGCTCACTCAGCAGTGCTTGCAGGGGGCTGGGGCTGTGAGTCTGGCTTATTAGCCCATGTTAATCCAGTCCAAGTTGTTTTCATCAGATGTTGAAGATTACAGGGGTGGGAACTGGGGGCCTGTGTCCCTCAGGAGCTGTCCAGTGATTAAAGCAAATCTGCTGTTACACAGCTTGGCTCCCGGCAGTGCAGCAAGTTAATTTCATGGAACATGACCACTGAGGCTGGTGTGTCAGGCCCCTAGAGGAGGGGTGGAGGGGTAATTTTTATTTAACCCCACTTTGTGTTCTCATGGCATTTTCCCAGCTACACAAGATTCCAGGATGTCTTCCTGTCTTGTGGCTGATTCTTATTGTACTTAACCCTGGGTTCCCTCCAAAGCAGCCTGAGAAGCTGGACAAGCCTAGCAGAAACATGACAGGCAGAGTGAAAACTAGCATAGCACATACATCTTGTCACCATGGAGGAAGACGATGATGATTCCCTCCTCTTACCCCAGACCCCTCATACTCTTCTCATTCACAGCCTTTGCCCACTCCAACTCCCACTGAACATGTAGCTGGACTCAGATGGTACCTTACCAAGGCATGTCAGCTGTGTATGCCCTACTTTGTCATGTTTTGGCTACAAAGGTAGTCCTGGGTTTCCTCCATCCCATCCCATGCCATGACAACAGTATGTCATATATACTTTCCATCTAGGAAAAGAGATCCTTCATATTCCCAAATCCCATCAAAAGCAATGATTTAGCAAAAGAAGAGAACTAAACTCTAAAGAGGGTACTTCATATTACCTCTCTGAACAGATTGTGGTATATGAATAAATGGAACATTATTGAACTGTAGGAAATGACGAAAGATACATATGAACTAATACAGAGTGAAGTGAGCAAAGCCAAGAGAACAATTTATATAACAATAATAATGTAAACAAAACAACTTTGAAAGACTCAGACTTAACTTTTATTTAAAGACGATGATCCACCATACCTCTGGAAGACTTATGATGAAACATGTTAACCACCTCCTGATAAAGAGGTTTTTGACCTTGGCCACTATGTGGATTTGTTTTGACTATGCTTGTTACAAGGTTTTTATGTTTTGTTTTTGTTTTTTTTCTCTAGGTTTTTAATTGAGGGAGGGTTAGCAATAGTGATCCCAAAATACAGGGCCATTGAAAACGTGAAAAAGAAGTTCAGAAAGAAGCACAAACTAGCAAGGCAGTTTTGAAAGTAATGTACAGATATTTTTTAAGTTGCTGTTTTTAAAGCAAATGGTTTGAAATGGAGATTTACCATTTCATATACAAATCTTTTTATGTTTTGTTGTATTTATGAAAATGCCCTTTTTTGGTGTTTAAATTCATAATAAAATTATAAAGAAATGCTTTAGTTCCTAAAAAAAATTCCTACCTCTGCCCTTTGAATAGAATTGGCCTTTTTTTATTTAATTTAATTTTTTTTATTAATTTATTTTTAGTTTTCAACATTCACTTCCATAATAAGCTTTTGAGTTTTCAATTTTCTCTCCCTCCCTCCCTCCCTCCCCAAGACATTGTGCTGTCTGATATAGTCTCTACATATACATTCCTATTAAACATTTTCACATTAGTTATATTGTAAAGAAGAATTAGAACCAATAGGAGGAACCACAAGAAAGAAGAAACAAAACAAAACAGAAGGGAAAAAGAAGAGCAAATAGTATGCTTCGATCTGCTGTCAGACTCCATAGTTCCTTCTCTAGATGTGGATAGCATTTTCCATCATGAGACCTTTGGAGATGTCTTAGATCCCTGCATTGCTGAGAAGGGCTAAGTCTATCAAAGTTAGTCATTGCACAATGTGTCTGTTACTGTGTACAATGTTCTCCTGGTTCTGCTCACTTCACTCAGCATCAGTCCATACAAGTCTTTCCAGGTTTTTCTGAAGTCTTCCTGCTCATCATTTCTTACAGCACAGTAGTATTCCATTACATTCATGTACCACAACTTTTTCAGCCATACCCCATTTGATAGGCATCCCTTCAATTTCCAATTCTTGGCCACCACAGAAAGAGCTGCTATAAATATTTTTGTACATGTGAGTCCTATTCCCATTTTTATGATGTCTTTGGGATATAGCCCTGGAAGACCACTTGGTCTTTTATTTTTGAAAGAAAGCCCTAGAGTAGGAGCTCAGGGCTCTTGACTTTATTAATAGGATTCACCAATCTCCTGTTGACATTTGGGATTTAACTTGGGCCTGACTGACCCATTCCTGTCCTCAGAGGTCTGGGATATGAGTACAGTAGCAATGGGCAGATTTCTAATGTCTTATTACACCCTGGCATCTGTGAAGACAGGAGTCTGAGTGACAGTAACCTCTGTTGATTGTCTTACTCTGGGTTCCCAAGTGCTGGCGGTCAGCCAATCCTGCCTTCTTTTCTACCATCCTACCTCTCTTTCCATGCCCTGAAGGATGTCCTACTGCTGAGTCAGTTCATCCGGCCCAATGGGGGAATGCTGCCTCGGAGAATCACAGGTCTATGCTTGGAAGAACATCGGAAAGTGGAGGAGTGTGTGAAGATGGCTCACCGGTCAGGTAGTTTGCACCCCTTCCTCCACCTCAGGAAGTGAGCCCCCTACTCAAAAATATTGGAGGCATAAGATATCCAGCTGTTCCCACAGTACTCCCTGTGTTTAGCTGGGATGAAAGCAGTTTTTGTTGTTCAGTCATTTTCAGTCATGTCTGATTCCTTGTGACCCCATTTGGGGTTTGCTTGGCAACTTCTCCAGCTCATTTGACGGATGAGGAAACTGAGGCAAACAGGGTGAAGTGACTTGCCCAGAGTCATACAGCTAGTAAGTGAGGCCAGATTTAAACTCAGGATGATAAGTCTTCCTCACTCCAAGCCTGGCACTCTGTGCTCCATGGTGCCACTCAGCTGCCCATGAAAGCAGTTACTCCGTCATAGAAGAGAAGTGTTACAGCTTGACCTTATCTCAGGAATTCAGGAGGAGCTGTACAGTAGCTTCCCTGACACGCGCTTCCCTTCCTCTAGGTCTGCTACCGAATCATAGACCTAAGCTTCCAGAAGGATGTGTTCCCAAGAAAAAACCCCAACTCAATCGGTGAGTGAACTGGCTACTAGTCATGATGGATGGCTGCAGCTAAGGACCTCCAGGATAGTCGTGACTCCCCTCCTAACATCCATTTAGTTACTTCATGGCCCCTCAGCGTTCACTGTGTAGCCATTGATGGCTCTATGGATTAGAAAGCATTTACTTAAAGAGGCCCACAGCCAAGGGAAGTTGAGGGTACATGTGTCTCTGATAGCAGCATAGTCAATCATCACCCCACATCCGGGGACACAGAGTTCTGTTAATTCCTGTTTCCTTCCTTTCCCTTCCCCCACTCAGCTGCAGTTTACATCGATCACGGTCCATTTGGCTTGGAGTATGGGTGAGAGAAAGACCCCTGGGATCCCTCCTCTGTCTTTCTATAAGGGAACTTAGGGAAGAGTAAGAGTTAGAGCTGAAAAGTACATCTTGTCAACTAGCCTTACTTATTGGGCATTAGTAGGTGTTAATCCCCTGTTTATGACATCACACTCTGTTGCCATGGGGATGCCAGAATAGTTTTCTGAACTTTTAATATCCTTGCTCTCTCCCAGCTCTGGGGTTACCAAAGGGCAGAAACAGACATAGGAAATGGTAGACAGTCCTCAAGATTTTTTGTGGTCCTGGTGTGACAGTAGATGTGACTATAGGAGGGCAGAGCTGTGTAGGGACTGACTACTTGAGTGGGAGGTTAAGCTCTGGAACGTGACCCACTCCTTGCCCTTATACCAGCTCTGCTGAAACGCAGCTGGTTTCCAAAATGGGCGGAAGTTTGTAACTTCCATAGAATTGTGCTCTGAGTTCTCTTTTTACCACCCAACCCTGGGATGTTTCTTTGTTGTAGATGTGCTTATTCAAAATTGTCTTTGGGTTTTTTCTGATTACCTCCAACCCAACTGTGTGTCCTCTTTCCCCTCATCTCCACCCCTGCTCTCATGCTGCTGTTGGCAGCTTACTCTCAATAAAGGAGCATGTGTGTCTGGCTCAGCTAAGGGTTTTCACAAAGCAAGACTTGTGCCTTCTTAGCTTCCTTCCTCATCTCCCTCACTCCCTGGGAGTGTCTTAAGGAAATGCAGAGTCTGGGTAACTGAAGCAGCAGCGAAACCAGTACATTTCTGCTATTGTAGAGAGACGGTGGGCAGGTGGCAGGGGTATTAATGGACCATGGGGCTTGTTTGGGATGCATCGTGTTGCTTCTGGAGGTAAAGCTGCATTAATTTTGTTAGCATGAAACTGCTTTGCCATAGCTTTGGCACCAAGCCCACTTCCACCTGTGCCTCCCACATTGGTAGCTTAAGTCATCCAGCAGCAGCCTGGAGGAGACATAGGACACATGTCAACCTCTTCCTGCCTTCTGCCCTACCCATATCTGCTGTGTGTGGCATTTGGGGATGGACTTCACCTCCTTTGGGCTTTGTAAAAGACAACAGTCAGTCCAAGGACACAATTCATCTTGCTCTCAGGCCTTTGAAGAAAGGCAAGAATCCCTCCCCTTAAATCCATTGTCCTTTAATGTGACACAATATTGATGTAGAGACTATAGGATTGCTAAAAGGGGCACAGAGGAAACTGAAACTTCCTTTACAAGGAAGGGCCTTGAGTTATATGTAGAGCCTTAAGACCAGCTGGAGGGGCAGCTAGGTGGCACAGTGGATAGAGCACCTGCACCAGCCCTGGAGTCAGGAGGACCTGAGTTCTCATATGGCCTCAGACACATGATAACTTACTAGCTGTGTGACCCTGGGCAAGTCACTTAACCCCAATTGCCTCACTTTAAAAAAAAAAAAAGACCAGCTGGACTTGGGGACCAAAGGAGGTCCCACAATGGTGTCTGAGCTTTATCGTTTCCTATTCTCCATAACTACTTTGCTTCAAGAGAGGTGGAAAGGTACTGATCTGAGACAAGAACTTGGATTGTTCCTGGAGTTTGGCTGTTCCCAGAGAGCTTACTGGAGCCCCTCCAGCCATTTCCCTTGCCAGCTGGCTACTCTCTGTGGCACTTACACTAGGCCCAAGGCTAGCTGGAACTTCACTCTCAGGTCAGATCCTTCTAGGGCAAAGGGAGAGAGAATAGCTTTGGGCCAGCAGCACCAGAGAAACTGCTTAGCTTAATGATTTGCTTGGGTACCTCAATCTATTTTTCCCAGTAAGCAATTACTTCCTATAGTAGACAGCAGTAAACATTCCATTTTCTCCCTGATCCAATCTCTTTTTCCTGTGTGCACAGTCTAAACAGGAATATAATCCAGGGAATTGTTAATGTGCAGAATAGCCAAGATGAAGTACTCTTCATCCTCAGGGGTCTGCCTCCATGTCCAGCCCCTCTCCTTGGTATATAGGCAGGTACCTCTGCTGGCTTCCTGGTTCCCCTTGGGATTAGTCCTTGGGGCCATCTCAGTGCCTACACCCTGTTCTTCCATTTTGGAAGTGGCTCCCCTTTTTCCCTCTTTGTAGGGCACAAAGAAGGGCAGCATCCTCATCTTCAAGGAGCCACAGGTCAGTGGAGCACAGTTGAAATATATCAGTTAAGGGGCTTTAGAGCACAGCTGGGTGAGGCAAGCATGTTGAATAGGAGCCAGGGCTTTCCAGGCATGGCTGGGGCCCTTTCTGGGGAGGCTAGCCTTTGCCATTGCTGAACCTCTGGAGCAGGCCGTGGCCCAAGTTTCATTCTGGACAAAGTAAGCCTCAACCCCACTATTGTGAGCCTCTTTTCCCGTCCTGGCCCTCTTCTCCACAAAAGAGACCAAAAGACCATGCCTAGAGTTACTTTCTTCCCTAAGAGTTGTAGGAACTTACCCATCCAGCCTGCACCCATAGCTCCCACCCTTTGGCTCTTATTCCTCATCGGGGAGGGGGCTCGGAGGTTAAGCACAGGCTATGGCTGCCCAAGGGAGCTGCCCCTGGAGCTGGAGCAACTGTCTGAGCCAAATGAGCAAGAGCGAAGGCCTTTTTTGCCCAAGCACTTATATCAGCCTCTCCTTTCTCTGCGGTCAAGGCCAAAAAGAATGACTTAGGATCTGAGCAGCCGCTTCCTCCCTTCTCTTCGCATACACAAACACTGACAATTCATGAAGACCAAGGAAGCATGTGGCCCTGTGCTGCCTGCTGACCCTGACCTCAGCCACACCCACTCAGCAGCTACAGCAGTTAGGAGCCCCATTTGTTTACAGCAAGCTTAGCTGTTTACTTCCTGGAAGTACAGAACTGCTCCCTCCCTCCCCTTCAAATGAGTGAAGCTGTGGTAGGGCAGCTCACTTTGATTGACCAGAGTAATGGTGGAAAAGCCAGTACACCTATTCTCCATAGTCCAGGTTGGTCAGAATCAAGATCCAGGTAGACTTTTTTATCTACTGCAGTACTCAAAATTAGTAAATTCCCCACAGGTCTTCATTATACTGTTCTGTCTACCTCCCTTTACAGGTACCTGACTCGTTGGGCTCCCCGCTCTGTCAAGCCCATCTTAAAGAAAGGTCCAAAATGGAACAAAGTTCGAATGGCTGTGGGCTCTCCCCTGCTTAAGGATAATGTCAATTACACAGGCAGACCCCTAGTGATGCACCATTGAAGAGAGGGAGTGGTTTCTAAGATGTTGGCCAAATCCCCAACCCCTGCTGATGGGAGCTGTCTCCCATTATTCCAACAGGAAAAGACTAGAAGGTAAATCTAGCCTAGAACTGCTACACACCCAAATGTTTTCAAAACTGGTTATTCCTAACCAAGATGTGGACAAAGGGAAAGGCAGTAATGATGCGCTCCTGATTCCAATGGAGCTGTGGGGAGGCCATTGGCAACTGCCATAAGATATCATGATCAGCTGTGACTGAATCCTTGGATTGAGTGATATAAGTATTACCCAAGAAATGTCATAAAACAAGACATTTGCTAAACCACTTGGTGTATGCTTACTTCTTGGGAAACTAGGTTGGACCCTCAGCATCAAGTTGTGAAGCTTGGAGACTTGGGAAATAATGGGATTGATATCCTATAATTGACAATACAAGGATTCCAAGAGGATGCAGTTTGATGTGTCCCCACCCTCTTCGTCTTGGGACCCTGATTGCCTATGAGTTCTGAGTAGGGGGTTGGGTTGAAGGAAGCAGAGACTAGAGACCTGTTCTGAGTGCAAGTGTCTTAGCTATAAACTTAAGTAATTTACCCAAAGACGGGATCCCAGGTGAGCTTTTCCATCCTCTGGGCATAATCTCCTGCACCTCTGCACATTTGCCCTTTGGCATCCCTTCCCAGGAGCATATTGGCAGGTGTCACCTGCATCCCTCCTACCTTCTGTTCTGTCACCAGAGTGGCCATCTCAAAGACTACAAGCATAGGAGGGAAGTAGGCAAGTACACTGTAAACACATAATAAATTCATGTGAGTTTATGAAAATATTCAAGTTTCTCTGCATATAAAGTAGTACCCAGGCTGAGGCACACCCCAGTCATAGCATGAAGGGCAAGTCTATGTTCTTCTCACCAGTGCCCACATAAATATAACCATGATTCTTGGTCCGGGGAGCATGGTAGAATGTCAGGCCTGGCCAGAGCAAGCTTCGAAGCACAACCAGTGCATTGCCCCTCTCCATCTGGATACTCCAGGACCCTGGGGAAGAGACAGACAGATAAGGAGGAATTGAAACCAGGGGCCTCTGAGGAGGCTTGCTTATGCTCAGCCAGCTGCTAGAAAAGGTTCCAGAACTGTTTTGTCCTGGTTCATATGGTTTCATTGGTAGGAATAAAGACAATTCAGTTATCCAGAGGCTGAGTGTTCAGACTTTTTACATCTCCTGAGTGCCTTTTGCCTACTTCGTTGTTCATTAAAACCTCTCTACCAAGGTGAGGGCAAAGGAAACGAAAAGAGGTGAAACTCCAACCAGTCCATATTGCTCATGTCAGCAACTGTAGATAAAGGTTAAGGAGAAGAGACTTAAAAAGGTAAATAAAATGGAGGTTTGAAAATTTGTAGTATTTTGGTACTCCTAAGCAAGACTTATACAGGCTGACATGAATGCACTCTTAACTGTCCCCACTTTGCTGCTTTCATCTTTCTTTTCTCGGAAGGGGGAAGGGGGTCCCTCCCATATTTTTAAATCCCAACTAACACCCTCCACACACACACACTCACTCATTCACACTCTCTCTCTCTCTCTCTCTCTTTTCCAAAAGCAGTAAAGCAAATCACCTAATAGAATGGCTATTGCTTCTTTCTTTCTCTCCTCTACCTTAGCGTCCTCACCCTCACTCAAACACTCTCCACCCCCCTCCCCCAATTTTTCCTACCAACCCCCTACAGCCTTAAGCACTGGTGATGTGGATAGACCACCAGTTCTCAGACTCTTGGCCATGTAAGTATAAAATCACCACCCTTTTTTTTTTGCAACCTAGCCAACTAACAAATCAGGATATCAGCTCTAGCTGGAGGGGACTGAGACCTAAGGCTAATTGGAGTGTGGGGGTAGGGATTTAAGAACAAGCCAAAATCTTTATCCTTCACAGTCCTTATCCTGGTTCCTTGTGCTCCCCCAAACAGGAGCACCCCAGCCTGAGGCTGAGTTCTGTAGCCTTGATGATGACTTGGCGGGAAGAGCCTGTCCCAGCTCCAGAATTGAGGGAGGGAGCTGCTGTGTGGGAGGAAAGAGCCTGGGAAAATCTCCTCTGGATGGAGATCTGGAGCTTCCTATTCCCCCTGCGCACTGTGGCCTCTCCCCCCTTTTCCCCAGCCCAGCCACAGCTCTACTCACTTTGCCAGAAAGGCAAACATTTTGAAGGTTTTGGTGCTGGACCAGCTAGCCCTGCAATGAGGTCTACTCTTGCAGCCTTCATCAGCTGCCAGCTCAGCCAGGCTGCCTGGCTCCAGCTGCCCCAGCTTCCCACGGACTTTCTTCGGCCATGGCCTGCCCTGGCCATACCACACCCAGAAACCCTGTACATGGCTCAGCATGATCCCCCCCACCCCTAAGGGGCCACCCTGCCTTTGGACCCAACCGACCGACCGCCAGTAACCCCTAGCCCTGCCCAGGGTGGAGCCACACTGCCCTAGGCCAGAGCTTGAGCTTCCAGAGGAGCAAGCCGGGCAGCCATAGTCATCACTGTTAAGGGGGAAGGAGATAAGAGGAGGGAGTCCTCCTTCCTCTTCCTTCCCCATCCCACCCCCTTCACTAAAATGCTACTATTTCCATGGCAGGATATAGTCTTTAGATAATCCCTCCAAAGTAGCCATACACTTCGTCAGTCTTCTCCAGCCCCGTCTCACACTGCCAGAGGTAAATGAGTGGTTTAGGATATAGTATCCAGTCTGTAAGTATTCCCCTTGCTGAATTGTCCCATTAGGATTGTATTATCACCAAGTCCTATCCTGCCTAGTCCTGAAGAGTGGAGAGTGAACTTCAAATGACTTCACCTAAAGAATAAGGTCGAACAATTCCCTCTCTAGGCTGGAGAAGAGCTTACCAGGCCCAAGGGATATTTTTCACCTTCCCCCTTAGCAAACAGTCTCAGAAGTATCATCTGGGCCCAATTTCAATGAAAATCCTCAACACAGATCCCCCTAGCCAATGGTCCACTAAACTCGAATGAGTTTTGGGAATTAAGTTGTCTGCATCCTCATGTTACCCCATTCATGGATAGGAATTAAACAATAGCCTCTGCCAGGCCCTATTCTAAACAGGTCAGGTCCTTGTCCATGCCACTCCCCTACTGAGTGAATTCATTTGGTGTCCTATTACCTGTAGGGTCAAGTATAAACTCCTTGATTGGGCATTTAAAGCACTTAACCTGGCTGCAATCTGTCTTGCCAGCCCTATATGTTCCTCCCTTTCTCAAAGGCTATCTTCCAGCCAAATTGGCCTTGCTTTTCTTCACACAGGACATTCCAGCTCCTATCCCTGTGTATCTGTATGGGCTGTCCCCCCCCCATGCCTGGAATGCATTCCCTCCTAGTCTCCACCTTCTAGAATTCCTCGTTTACTTCAAAGCTCAGGTTAAGTGCCACATACGTGAGACCTTTCCTTGCAGCCTCCCCCTGCCAAAAAAAAATTACCTTGTAATTCTGTATGTATTTTATGTATGTACAAGTCTTCCCCCTCTGACATGTAAGCTCCCTGAGGGCAGGTACTATTGTATTTTTGTCGTTTTATCCCTAGTACCTGGCAAGTAGTAGGTGCTTAATATTAAATGTAGATTAGTTGTGGGGCAGGAAACCTATACAAGAAAGAGGTTGTTAGCCCATGACTCCATCAAAAGAGGTTCCAGGCCAGGAAGCAAGGAAGAAGGACAGGGATGCCAGAGCCACTTCCTTGAGTAAAAGGAATAATCCGCAACAGACAAGGGAGCTTTGGCTGGGTATTCCAGCATATGAATGGCAAGGCAAGTGTTTGCCACCTACCTCCCTCCCTTGCATTCCTGTCACACACTTCCCAAAGTCCTCGCTCAGCTGGTCGCCTGGGAAACAATGGTTCTCAGCGTGCCAAGAGTCACGTAGTGTCTACCTGGGGAGCTGAGGACTAGTCTGTCACCTTCACCCACTTTTCTAGCTTCAAACTGAAAATAGGCCTTGCTATCCCCCAACCATAGCCCTACTTGTTCTGCTACCCTGATGTTCCAATCTCGCTCCTCCAAGGCTAAAGACTAACTAGGTTTCCTGTAGCCAGTGGAGCAGGATCAGAAAGGTTCAGCTAAACTTGAGCTCAGCTCGTCTGCCCTGGTGCATGTAACTACTCTTTCATTTCCCCTATGTCTTTCCATCCAGATTCCCTGGTAGCACTAGGCCCTTGCCTGTTCTCTCAAGTATCCTCTGGGTAGCCACTACAGTCCAGAGTGTCCATCTGTGCAGACAGGGAGAGAGGAGGACTGGGGACTAGGGACATGTGGAGATAATGAGAATGAAGATAGCAAAAGTGGGTCTTGCCCCCACAAGACTTAGAAACTTCCTTCTCAGGTTTTCTGTCCCCAGCTGTCAGATGAGAGTCAAAAGAATGACACACTTCATACCAATGTGATCTCTTATGAAAAAGAAGGAGTTTATCATCCCTGCTTAATATGTTACTGGATAGGGGCTCTAGGAATGGGAAGGAGGAACCAAATAGGTCCCACAAAGCTTAAGCTAAACTTTAGACTAGAAGACTAACATTTAACTGTTCTCCCAAGGGAGTTTCAGTGCTATAAAGACCTAGGGTCTTCCTGAAAGATCCCAACAACTGCTTCCCTTTGGATCTAGTCCACTCCCTGGTGACTCTCCTAAAAGACAGAGACTAGGAGGCAGATTGGAAGCAAGCTATCATTGATAAGGAGTTTCCCCAATAGGGGTGGGGTGGGGGGGTTGGTGCAGTGCACATCATCCCCAGCCTGCCTAAGACCTCCATGAAAGGAACCTAGATACACAGCTCTAAAAGAAGGATTTTTCACATTTCCCCCCACCCTCCCTCCACCCCCAAGTCCCACCTAACAGTAAGTGCTGTCTTCTCATTTTGGATTGTTGGTCCCCCAGGCTACTTGAAAAAGCCATCTTTCCACCGCTATAAAAAAAAACAAACTGGCTCCATGCTGACCCCTGCTGCCTAAACTGA